AAAACACGTATACGCCGGTGGAAAATCAAACCATATCTCTTCATCAAGACGTTGTATAGTCTCTGGTAGATCGCTAGTCAAGGTTTGAAGAAACAGATGGGTCAACATAGCATCTCCACCCGGATGTTGTACTTTCAGCCATGGCCCGAAGCAAGTATCCTCAAATATTTTTCTTTGTGCAGGTGAAAGCTTCGACGCAATTGTTTTGGCCAGGCTTACTTTATTTCTTAAGGTCAATTGAGCCGAATAAAAGTTTTGCAAAAACAATAAACATACCAATTTAGATATACCAAAAACTACACTGTGAAGATATGAACAATAAAGAGTAGTAGTTTATTCTTCAAACTTAAATTTGCAACACTGTGAATTTAGTATTTGTTTTTTGGTTGAAGTAATGCAATTCATTCAAGTTTCAATTTGCAGAAGAAGAATAGTTTCTGAAACTTTAAATCGCAACACGAAAATGAAAATCGCAACACGAAAATGACTATCGCAATGCGAATTTGACTATCGCAACGCAAGAATCGCAACGCGAAATGAAAATCGCATTGCGATTCTCTCGTTGCGATAGTCAAATTCGCATTGCGATAGTCATTTTCGCATTGCGATTCACTCGTTGCGATAGTCATTCTTGGTTTCAAATACTAAAATTGAAAGAAACTTGAATGGATTGCATTACTTCAATCAAAAGACAAAACAAAGACAAATACTAACTTCACAGGGTTAAAGACTAAACAGTTTAGCAGTATTGGCAGCAATCGAATGAATATAATAAGCAATCTAAGTGAAATGGTTAATCTATTATTGAAAACACCAGTAAACTTATCATCAATTTCAATATGAAAAACCTAATAATAAAGCAAAAATTTCAAAATAAAAATATAATTAAAAAAACTAACCATCGGTGGTTGATTTGGTTGATTTTCCATTTCTGACCGTGAATGATTTCGCCAGAGATGGAGATTGTTATCGTCGTGGGGACTGATTTCGTCGGAGATGGGGACGGCTGTCGCCTTAGAGAGTGAGAGATGGAGATGAGACTGAGTTGTGATTTAGGGTTTTAGGTTATGAGTTGTGATTACGGGATATACTGTGGACGGTTCAGTGTTCCGATATATTAATATATTCGTGTTTGGAATTTGAAAAAAAAATACGCGTTAATACGAATGGCGCTATGTAAATCGCATTACGATAGTCAGATTCGTATTGCGATTTACGTATTCGCATTGCGATTTACATAATCGCGTTGCGATTTACGTATTCGCATTGCGAATTAGGAAAATCGCAACGCGAATTTGGTAAATCGCAATGCGATAGTCAGAATCGCGTTGCAAATCTGGAAACTGATTTGCGATACCGGAGATCGCGTTGCGAATTATCGATCGCATTACGATTTAGTTGGTCATTTTGGAAAATCCAAAAAAAGTTGATTAAAATCGTATATTATAAGGCATTTTTGGTCACTGAGGTTATTTTCTCATAAAATAAATATTGGGCTACTAATATCTTTTTTTAAATATTAAATTTAATTAAATATTAATAATTTGAAATATTTTAACTGCATTCTTTAATATATTTTTTATTATAAAATAAATAATATATATGTTGTTATCTCTTTCAATCTTGGATTGGAGCACGACTTTTACATGTGTATAAATGTTTATTATCAAATAGTGGAGAATCTTTAAAAATATATTACTTTATAATTATCTTAAACTAATTAAAAATATTTTTAAAAATATATTTATTTACTAACACGTTATTTAATAGGATTGGATGATAGATTTTTAAAGAATGGTTAGGGTATGAATCTAGTGTTATAGATGAAGTGAATTAATTTAGTTGAATCATCTTATAACTAACTCTTATAATACATTATTTGAATAAATTGAATGATTATTTTATAATATTTAGAAAATTCAACGATCAGATCATGATTTAAATATAATTTAATGACCTATAATGTAATTTATACGAAAATAAAAGAAAACCGAGTCCTACTTGGATAACACGGCGCCGTATCCCGACATCCACATAGGTTGAATCCATCCAATCGGACTTTTTTCAAAACCATTTTTCCAATTACCATTTATTTATAAAGACGAAACATCTCTTTTGATTTGCCTTAAATCACTCCTCCTCCTCCTTCCGCCATGACAAAGCCGCCAACGCCGTCAAACATCGACCTCTGGTCCATCCGATCCGAATGCAATCGTATAATCAAGGCCCACTCCCGCCACCTCCATGCTACCATTTTCATCTTTCTCTTCCCCATCTCTCTCTCCTTACTCTTCTATCAAGTCTTCCCCATTAAAACCCTTCTCTTCAATCTCCTTTACACCCTCACCATTCCCGTACTCTCTCTCTTCGCCACCGGTTCCACCATCTACAGCGTTTTCCACGGCTTTCACGGTCAACCAGTCAAACTTTCATCCTCTATCAAGACAGCTTTCACTTCCTTCTTCCCTCTCCTCTCAACTTGGCTTGTAACCCAGCTTATCATTTCTGGGATCGCTTTAATTCTTGGTTTGGCCTTTTTCTCATTATACAAAGCAACCCGAGTTGATTACTCTTCACCTTATTTCATTCTCCTTTGCCTTGCTTACGCGATCACTCTCATGTTTATTGTGGTTTATTTACAAGTGAAGTGGATATTCGCTTATGTTATCGTCGTAGTTGAATCAAGCTGGGGACTTGAACCACTGAAACGAAGTCAAAGCTTGGTTAAAGGAACGAAAGGGGTTGCTTTTAAGATTATACTGCAATGGGCCTTCTTCTGTTGGATTGGTGGCTGGAGCTCAATGTTATTAGGTTTGGTTGATTCAGCCGGTGATAAATGGAAACCTTGGCCATCATATGTTATTAAGATTTCCACCATTCCCGCTGCCTCCTACTACCCGTTGTATATGCTTTCTTACTTGGTTATGAATACAGTTTTCTATATGAATTCCAAAGCACTGCATGTAGGAGAGTATGTAAGTTTGTCATCTGATGATGATGGGACAGTTTCTAATGTTATTTCAAACGTTTAAGCTTTGATGAAAACAGGTGTCGTTTCACTTGTATGTGTTGCTGTTCTTGTTTCGTTAGTTGTAATAAAACTGCTTGTAGCCTGCCTTGTATACGGGCACTTTGAGATTTAATAAATGTGAAGTGTGTGCAGTATTTTCTCCTCGCCTCCCTTATTTGTTTCATTTACCAACTTCCTTTATTTTCTTAAAATCTATTCATTAAATACTTTAAAGTAAACTGTTTTTTATTTCAATTAAACTATTATATTGATTTGATATCATGCCTCTCACAGTTATTTCAAAATCAAAAAATAAATCTACAAGGGGATAGGTGTTGTCAATAATTAATAAAAATTCTAAATAAATATTACCTTTATATCAACCTCAAACTATTTTAAAAATAATAATAAGCATAAATTTATACTATTACATTAACAATTTTATAGGTTCTCTACTTTGTAACTCATTATTAACTCATTTAATCATGTAAAATAGCTAAATAAGTTGAATAATAAATTAATTAATGTAATAAACTTTATCATTTTACCAACAATCAGTTGGTATAGTAGGATTAGACACTAGATTCTTTAAGTAATGTTGGGAGTTCGAATCATGGTGTTTGCGAATGGAGCAAGCTGGGTTGAGAGGGTCACCCTCGCCTATGCAGTACCCGATTTGGATTAGTCGATCAATAAATCGAATACGTGATTAATTCAAAAAATTCTAAAAAGTATATAAATGTGATATGTGTCACTTAACAATTTATCTATCTTACATACGTTTAATTCTAAAAAAATCCTAATAAATCAACCCATATGAGTCATATAAACTTTACCAAAATAAAAATTATTTGATTATTATTTTTAGCGATCTTCCATCTAAATTAAAAGGAGTGAAATATCGGTTATAAAATTTATATTTTCCATTAAACAAGTGTATAATGTTTTCACAAATGTATTATCTAGGTAAAATAGCCCATTAACAAAGTCATATCGATTAATTGACTTAAAGTTTATATTTAACTCAAAATCATTTTTGTTTTGATGAACTAATATTCAATGGGTTCCTTGCAAGCGTAGGAACCAAGTCAAGCAAGAGGACTTGGCTAATATAAGGAACAACGACTTCTCCTTTGACAATAGTTTCTCTTGTAAGAATAAGTGAAGCTATGCAGGAAACTTCTCTTTTATTGGTGTTTTTTTTTCTTGATAGTAAAATTAATATTTATTATTTATTTATTAAAATAATATTTATTGTAGGTCTTTATGTTATGTCAAGGTCCAGATTAAATTAAAAAATTAACGACGTTAAATTGTAGGGAAAATTTTCAAATATGTAAAGAGCACAGGGGTTGATAGCAGAATTAGACCTATGTATTGTTTAAGTTGACCCTTAATGGCGTATGGCAACTTCTATTCCACGCTGAAACCATGGTGTCTGACTTTTCTTAGAGCCAATTTTTCCATGGAGACGCGGTATAAAAACAAAAGCATCTCATTGGCTTTGCCACAATCATCTCCCCGGTCTTCTTCCATGGCAGCGCCACCGTCTCCTCCGTCAAACATCGGCCTCTGGACCATCCTATCCGAATCTAACCGCATACTCAGGGCGCAACCCTGGAACCTCCAAGCTCTCTTCCTCCTCTTCCTCCTCCCTTTCTCTTTCTTATTATCCCTATACCCCTTCATAGCTAAACTCTTCTCTCCCACCATCGAATCCCACCTCAGCTTCCTTCAACAAAATCCATCCATCAAACCCTTCATCCTCAACCTCATTTACTCCCTCATCATCTCCTTCTTCTCCAACTTCTCCGTTGGTTCCATCACTTACAGCGTTTTCCATGGCTTTCATGGTCAACCCGTCAAGCTTTCATCCGCCATTAAAGCAGCTTTCACTTCCTTCTTCCCTCTCCTCTTAACTTCCTTTGTACAATCTCTTATCATTTCTGGAATCGATTTAATTATTGGTTTAGTCTTTTTTGCATTACTCATGGAAACCCAAGTTTTTTACTCGCCATCTTATTATGTCGTTCTCCTTTCTCTTGCTTATGCGATCATTATCATGTTTGTTTTGTTATATTTACAAGTGAATTGGATATTTGCTTATGTTATCGTCGTGGTTGAATCAAGTTGGGGACTTAAACCTTTAAAACGAAGTCAAATTTTAGTTAAAGGGATCAAAGGGGTTGCTTTGAAGATTTTACTTTTTTTCGGCTTCTGCGGTTCGATCAATGTATTGCGCTCAATTATGCAATCGGGTGATTTAACTGGTGATGAGTGGAAAAGTTGGGACTTTATTTGGAATATTGTCGGCACTACCGCATTGTACATGGTGATTATGATTTATAATTTGGCTGCATATACAGTTTTCTATGTATATTCCAAGGCTGAAGAATTTGGAGGGCAATATGTAAGTTTGCCTTTTGATGACGATGGCAAAGTTCCAAATGTTGTCTCAATCGTTTAAGCTTTGATGAAAAACAGCAGATTTTTTTAGGTTTGTTTATGTTGTGTTGTTGCTGTTCTGTTTACTGTTTTGTATGAAAAATGTGTGAACTGTAAGAAGAGATGCTTCAGATTCGTAAGAAACAATAAAAATGTTCATTCTCTTTGCATTTGAAACATTTGGTGAAACTTTGCACTTATGTTTTTACCAGAAACTTAGGAATGTTCAGTAGTTAAGTACAATGGAGTACATTACAAGAAATTTATACTATTGTGATAAATTTAATTTTGTTATTATTAGTAGATTTTTGGTGATAAAATAAACAATCGGCATTAGATTAAAAAATGATATACAATTATGACAAAAGATAAAATTGTCATAATAATTTGTCACAATTAGTAAACATATGTAACATATGGTGACAAAATAAATTTTATTACAAATTTTTATCACAAATATTTCCCTCCAATTTTTTGGCGTCAAATTGAATGAATATAGTGACAACTTTTTGAAACAAAAAGTTTTAGTAACTATGACAGAAAAATTTGTCACAACAAATAATAGGATTTAAATTTGTTGTGACAAATTTTGTTTGTAATTATATATTTTAATTATAGTGACAAAATGTATAGTCACAAATTATTATCTCTAATTTTTGGTACAAAAACAAAATCATATAGTGACATGTTTTGTAACTATAAGTTATAATTATTGTTACAAAAAAATTGTCACAACAAATAATGAGATTCAAGTTTTTAATAAAAAATAATGTTTGTTGTTATATGTTTTAATTATAGTGACAAAATATATTGTTACAAAGATTTCCCTCCATATTTTTTTGCGTCAAGAAAATCATATAGTGACAAATTTTGTAACTATAAGTGTTAATAATTATTATAAAAAATATTGTCACAAAAAATAATGATATTCACATTTTGTGAAAAATTATATTAGTAGTTATAAATTTTAATTATAGTGATAGCATATATTAATTGGCATAACTATTTTTCTTCATTTTTTTGTTTTAAAAGTTATATTGACAATTTTTATAATTATAATTTATAGTTATCGTTCTAGAAAAAATTATCACATCAAATAATAAAATTCAAGTTTTTTGTATTAAAATATTTTTGTACTTATATATTTTAATCATTATGAAAAAAACATATTATCATAACCACTTCTCCCTACTTTTTAGTGTCAAAAATGTTATATAGTAACAAAATATATTGTAATTAATAAAATTTAAGTTTTTTGTAATTAATTATTTTTGTAGTTATATATTTTAATCATTATGAAAACTTATATTATCATAATTATTTCTTCCTATTTTTGGTGCAACAATGTTATATAGTGACAAGTTTTGTAACTATATGTAATATTTATTGTTATAGAAAAATTATCACAAAAAAATTATTTTTTTAATTAATAAAAGATTCAAGTTTTTTATAAAAGAAAATTATGTTTGCAATTATATATTTAATTATAATGATAAAATATAATTATTATTATTATTATAAAAAAATGTTCAAAATTTTTAATTTTTTTATAGTATATATTTATAATTAAATGGATTTTCAAATAAAATATAATAACAAAATATATTATCAAAAAGTTCAAAGGCTTGTTTATTTATTAAAAATCATTATTTTAAAATTAAAATTTAAAATACACAAAAAAAAATAGTAAAAATAAAAATTAAATTGCTAAAAAATTGAACTATATATATATATATATTGAATTGGGGATGAACAAGTTAACTTAAGCCCTCAGGTAAGGTGGTCTGTGTAAGTCTTGAACAATATATATTAACCATAATTGGACAAATTTCCTATTAAATTTTTTACATTAAGTTTAGATAAAGTTTAGTTCCATTTATCATGTTATATTCACTACAATACTCTTCTTAGTTGTATAAATATTTTTAATATTTTTTATTATATAGTTTCATAATGGTTAATGATAGAAGCTTTTGGTTAAATGGTTATGTTAATTGTTTTTTTCCTAAGTTTGAGGGTCGCATTGAATGCAACAATAATTTGATGCCAAATTGATTTTTTTAATGTACAAGAGCCTTATGTATCTTTTTTCTGAAAAATTAATATAAATTAAATAAATATTAATCGGATATCGATGACCCGAAAATACAAGTACCTAGGTTTTATGGGTACCCAACTTATGGGTGCCCACAAATTATTGGTTGAGACATAGACCGAGTTTTTGACACCCAAAAATTTTGAATACCTGAAAAAGCGAGTACCTAGATATGAACATCCCTAACTAATATTGATGATAAAAAAATCATGTATTAAATTTACTATGATTATTTTTATTAACTATAACACATCAAAGTTTAACCATAAATTATTTTTAATACACAAATTTTATATATGATTTTTATCTTTTTTATTAATAATTAATATTATTATCATTATTGATTTATTTTATATTTTAATATTATATGAATCTCTTCATAATCATCATGTTCTGAAGATTATACTTTTATTATTTTAAACAAAACAGTGAGGCATTATCATAAATAGTAAAGAAACATTATGTGACCAAATTAACCTGAAAAATTTTAGTGACCTTAAAAATATTAACTTAACATCCTTAATATATATATATATATATATATATATATATAATATCCCAAACTACGGGTTAGTGATCAAATTGTAAAACTTCAGAATTTGGTGATTAAAGTAGAATAGTTGAATAGTTCAATGACTTATTTGAAAATATTCTATGAAGGATTGTTAGTAATTATGAAATTAATTAAAGGGAAAAATGATCAATTGACTTGGAAATAAATTAAAAATAGGAAATGATAAGGATATATATACACGTGGGGATTGTGGGAAAGGAAAACAAAGTTTTCCAGAGAATTCTCCATCTTTCTCTCTCTCCACCGTGAACCAAGGTAGCAAGGGTGAGTTTTCTGTTTAGCTGATTATTTGTTGATTTTTAAGAGTGGATTTTGATCCTTAGGTGATACTTAAGCTTAAGGAAATCTTAAGTTGTCTTATAATCAAAAGATGAAGAAGTTATAAGAGATTAAAGAGAAAGATTTCTAAATGAATTTATGGAAAAGAGTTGATAAGTTGAATTCGAAACTAAATTTGACTTTTCATAGATGTGAATAAGAAGTTACAAGTCTTGATACTAAGTTTGGATAACATGGAAAATTTAGTAAGATTCTTGGTTTTAAGAATTTGGATGATATATGGGAGATAGTAAAGTGTTGGAATGATAGAGGTTAGTTAAAATGGTTATAGTTGAGTTTGGTAATATAAAAAGGACTTTATATGAGAAAACCGAATAAAGAGTTGTTGAATTTTCGGGTGTAAAGGTCTGTTCTGGACAGGGTGTATCGGTACACTATAAATAGGTATCGATACACTAAGACCAATTTTTGAAGAACAGTTAATGGTATATCAATACATTCAAGGGTGTACCGATACCTGTGTATCGATACACACACAAGCATGTATCAATACCTATGAATTTCGAACCCAATTTGGGTACCGATACACCCATGGTGTACCGATACCCCCTAAAGAGAAAAATGTATTTTGGTTCATTAAGTTAGCTTAAGTTATTCGTATCTAATTATAAGATTTAGGCTTCTGATAATCGTCTTGAAAATTATATTTATGTAGATATTGAACCTAATCAAGTTAAGATTTGATCGAAAGAAAGGAAATCATAAAAGTAGATTTGGAACATAGTAAGACCAAGGTGAGTGCATCTTATTTGGCATATGATGTTAAATGGAAATAAGACTTGCGATAAGTCTATTTCCAATGATAAAATGCTTGAATTCATAGATAGAAGTATGCTTTAGTTATGATTCATATGGGTGTATGAGCATATGTGTTTATATGTTAGTGTGAATGTTACAGGATATAAATATGTATATAAATTTATGAACTTATATGACTATGAGATGTAAATGTGATATGTGAACATAAAAGATTAAGTGACATGAATTAGTGATCATATGGAAACAAGAACATGTGAAATGAAAAATATGATAAAAAGATATGGAACTCTATAAGAGTATTACATGATATGTGATGAAAAGCTATAAGTTATGTGCCTATGTGATAGAAATAAATGATTAACCTAGTAATAATGCCCATGTTATGTGATGTGAGAATCATAGGTATAGTTGGCATGCCAAGAGTCGAGGGTTCTTAGGTCTTTCGAGACATACAAAGATCCTCCGAGATATTCATAGGTCATTTAGGACAAAATTTCACATGCCCCTAGTGGGACCCCATACGAGTTGTGATGACAGCATATGTGCACAACCTCAATGTACTTGCATACCATAAGTTCTTAGTAATGTGTATGGGCCTATAGAATATATGAAAAAAGGTTGCATGATTGTATGTTATCATGTTATTATTGTTTGTATTGAGTCACATATGCACATGAATTAATAAAGAGATAATGATAAATAAATATTGTGATATGAAAAATCTTATAGAAAGTATAAGAATATGTGGTTAAAAGATAAGGAGGTTAATGATGATCTATGCTTATGTATTTATTTATTGATATGTAATTTGATATGATTTTATATGGTGTGGTGAATTGAAGTGAGTTTGAATAGCATGATAGAATATAGTATGCATACATTGTTATATGTTATAAAGTGGATTATATGTTTATGATGTCTCACTAAGTCTATGACTTAGCGTGTAAGCATTTTTACACGTAGGTTTAGAAGAGCAAGAGGATCAAGAATAGGAATTTGCAGAGTAACATATCTCCACTCAAAGACCAGATCAGAAGTAAATTCACAGTATGCATTTTGTTGGGTCAAAAGAGTTGGCATGTAAAAAAAGTGTGTACCTTACGAATGCTCTGATCAAATTTTGTAATGTTTTGAACTTAACTGTGTAAATATAGTTTTTGTGTTAATAAAAGTTTAAATTTCATATAGTTTTTATGAATGTATATGCTTTGAAAAGTCAATGTGACTTCTCGAACTCGTATTTGGGTCGGGTGAG